CGAAAAACAAATAATTATTCGGAATAAAATACAATATTTATTCCTCAAACAGCAGAACATTTCATACATTTGATACTTTCGATGTTAGTTGAACAAAAAGTGCCCATAATTTTAATGGTATATTTAATTTTATTTAAAACATGAGTGGAATATATTTTATATTTCATATATTTATTTATACTAAAATAAATTTCGAAGTAATTTTCGGTAATGGATGAGGTAATTTAAGAAAAATGTGTGGTATCTATAAAACATATATGTATGATGTTCATAATTTAAGAACAATTCGAAAGTCCTGATGCTTCGATGAAATATGAACTTATGCACTATTCCTATCAAAAATTGAAATCAGCCTAAGTGTGTCTCTCAGATTTTAATCGGCTCTCTTATGTAGACAGACTATGTTATTTCAAATCTCCATAGTTTTAAATGAGGGTCACTAATTGTTTAGTAAATATTTAACGTTAAAGCTTTGGTACGATTTATCTAAAACAAATTTTATTCACGTTGATGCCTGATCTCTTGTACTTCTCTATTTTTATTTGCCATCACAATGTTGTAATTCTATCAATCAAATCATTACTATCAATTACTGTTACACAAAAATGTTTAAATTGCTTTTGGCAAAGTAACTATAGTTTCTGCTATTGACAGTTTAATTAAATAACACTATTTACTTTTATTTGGAATAGCTGATAAATGATTCTTGTAGAACTTTATAGACTGAATATGTATTTGGAAACCGTTGTTCTCCAACTTTCACTTTCTGAAATATTTAGCTTTCAAAATAGGAAACATATTTTCTATCCCAAAAATACTATACATATAGTATAAAGGCTTATTATAAACATTAATTTTGCGACTGTTTCGAACTAAAATGAAGGATACTTTTATAGCAGTGAAAGTTGAAAGTATAATAGTTAAAATTTGTTGTAAAAATCATTAAAACATTTGAATAAATCGTTAAAATTATCACTAGTATGCTTATTTCTATAAGTATATACGGGAACTGTATTTTTAGTCGCATTTTTTGCATAGAAGTAAATTTAGAAAATAGGATAATGTTAGTAAGCCGCAAAATTGAGAATTAAAATTTTAATTCACCACTGAAAGAAGATAACAATGCAAATATTAGGATCGTATCACAAAATATTTGAAAACAATCTTCACTATGATTGACCTGCAGCTACTCCTGGACAAACGAAAGAAAGTAGGAAATTAAATAATTATGTATATATTAGTATTAATACGAAAGATCAGCATATAACAACAGAAATGGGTAAACGTTGCACCCTCCGTGCTCTCTAATGCGTGACACTGAGTAACCGCACATTTTGCCCACCCCTAAAGCTACGACTGGGCTTCTCTCTTATAATTTAAAAGACAGTTTGAAAGAATATAATGTAGAGCAGATAATTAAATGTTATATTACGATGAAAAGATTATCTTTCTTTTCGACGGTTCAAATCATTGTGAAATAATTCGAAATTTCTTTTTCATGTAATTACACAATTGTGCACATGAACTCTATGTTATATGTTATAATAATTCTATATTTCACATTTTTCCAATACGGCAAAGAAACCAATTTGCAAAGATGTTTTCGTATTAGACATGCTTCCAATGCACTTCTACTTGAATTCGTACGCAAAAGAACAATCTTTCCGTGATAATTTTGTAGCAGCAGATTGCTTCACACTGTTTCTTTGAAAAATAGCTGTGGTGTTAAAAAAGATAAACCTTACCTAAACATTGACGTTAAATATCTTTTAATATTTTAACTATTAATCGTCTACCCTCTCTAATCTATTAACACGCAGATACTCAAATCTGAGGGGCACACTTGGAGTAATTTGTACATCGTAAGAGACTCTTTAACAACAATAAACATTTTCATGCCCTTTGACTAGGTATAATTTTTACAAATTTGGCAATGGTCATTTAACTATGCTCTCTAACTGCAAACTAAAAGCGACTTTTTACTACAGATGCAAGTATTGCAATCCATGTTAATCTGACCCACCGTAATATTTCATATTTCATATTTCATAACTGTTACATACTGTGTATAGTATCGTAGTAATATTTTCTCACGCTACGATTAGCAACAATACAATTAACTATTCAATATGCAGTACCGGTGGATGTTTGATTCAATGTTACTAGAGAAATAGGTTAACTTTAAGTTAACGACGATTAAACACTATCAGATTAGCCCTAACCTTAAAAATAAACAACTGGGATTATTCTATTGACTAGACATCGCATGCTTCGACTGCCTTAATTATCTTTGATATTTAGCTGTATGATCACGATTCTATAGATTATAGATCGATGAGATAAACCTCCGTTCTAAGCGATTTCTATTTTAAATAACATATGGGTTAATTTAAATCTATACAAGATGTCATCAGTTTTTCTAGTTAATCTATAGAGAAAAATAAAAAAAAATTTACATAAAAGCTGACCATGAACATTTTGTTACAAAATTATAAGCAAATATGAATGAGCCTATTGGAATATTCTATTAGTTTTTCTCTACAGGTTATTATTGCGATACTAGTGCAAACATTTAGTAACATAAGTATTAAAATTCAGTAAAATTATCCAAAATTTTAGTAAATTCCATATTTTCTAGATATAATAGGTTTTAATTATATTTATTACAATTAATAGCAAATTGTTGCCAGATAAAAACAAGACTTCCATATACTGCAATAAAAATCTTTTGTTATATATTTCAAGCGTTCAACAATTTTCTTCTGACTTTGGGGCAAATATTTCGTAGTTAACTTTTATGCGACAATTTTTCTATTTTTCTCTGCAGATTACACCTACACATTTTGTTAAATAAACCTACAACACACTATATATACATATATTATATACACAGCCACGGATTATAGTTGATTAAGAATATATTTTGCCAATAATTGTATAGAAATATTTTGTTAGTAAATAACATTATGAAAATAAAAATATTTCATTTGAAAAAGGATTTTAGGGGTTTTCAATTCATGTATAATTTATGCAGGAATAAGTTTATCTTCTACTTGAAAAAATGAAGAAACCAAATTCGATAAAAGAAATCATCGGTTAGATGATTGGTAACATTTACTAGATCCTAGTACAAATTAGTATTCTTATGTAGCAAACCGTTTTCGGCATGTCTTCTGCATTGCTTTAAAAGAATGGTAAGTAGTTTATCCCAAATTTGCTGTATAAAAAAGCTAATTTTCACAATATTACAACACTGTACTCCAAGATTATGATAATTAAAACAAAACACTGGCATCATTATTTAATGTTATTAATGTTATTTTGAATGTTATTGTGTTGGAATAATTCAGTAGACAGAATTTCAGTGATACGATATAACATTACAAATTTTAAATGTTGCATTTTACGACACTGAATTTAGTCTTTCTGTTCGCTGCTTCGGATTTTTGAACTAATTTTAGACCACAAAAAACAACCTCAATTTATACTAATACTTTCGCGAATTTAATTATCCCTATTGTATATTTTCATATAGAAATCAGTTTAAAACAATTTACCTACCATAAAATGTGTGTATGTTTTTTTTAATAAAAAAGCACAGTAAATAAACGTAGAAAAGATACTGAAGTCTAGTAGACGCTAAAGAATAAAACTTTTAAATAAAAACTTATTTTTACATTAACATATTCTTAGCTATTAAAATTTTCTTTCGAATGATACCCATATTTGAATTTTCATAACTTCATTTTTAAGAGAGTTATTTTCACAGTTCTAACGAAAAATGTTGCCGATCAATTTCGCCTGACTACATATTATAAGAATGACGGATGATCAGCTTCGGTAAATATTACAAAGCAGATAAATGGAAACTGGTATGTACACGTATAGTCACGGTTAGCTGACCTCTTCTCGCTATCTACAAATTTACATCGCACGCAACACCGTGTTAACCTTGTTGCTCCGGTATACTTCTAATTCTATGCAAATTTACAATCCAATTCGTCCCTGGCTAGTGTTGCTCGCACGATATGGGTATCGTTCCGTTGTAACAGCGTTTATTGTCTCAAGTTGATGAGAATCGAAACGACACGGCATGACGCCGCTAAAATGATCGTCACCGAAAGATATGTAATCAGTGTCACCAAATTCTACAATTATTTGAACTGTACACTAATTTTTGACAGATCGTCTTTCGTATCGAAAAATTTATTCGTAATCAAAAGTACTACTGGTTGCAATATTCAACCCTTGAACGACAGAAGTAGGCCGTTTGTAGCCCAAATTTACGAAAACAATGCAACGGTGCATGGATTTGAAATGAATACCCAAATTTTTAAATAAAAAATGAAAAACAAATATTTTGAAAATTAGAAAATGAAAATAGAAAAGAATTTAAACTTAAAATTAAATTGTCATTACACTGCATAATTATTTAATTAAACTTGTCGTAATATTGGATTCTCTATACATATCTCTCTAAATAAAACAACATTTTTTAAAAACTAAAGTAAAATATATACTTGATATTGTAAAGTAGGGTTTCCAGACATCTATAAGCATTTCAAAATTAAAAAATCATCCCTTATTTTATATCCAGTAAAATTATTTTTATAAATACTTTAAACTCAAAGTTATTAAGATTTCTGTGGTAGTATTTCATTTTCGATTAGAAACATCTAAAGGTCCTATTCGATGATTTTATAAGGTTCAAAAATGTAAGAAATTCAGTATTTGTCATTGCTCAACTAAAAAATTCAATTGCCGTCTCTACACAAAATATTTCATTTTTAAAATTGCACTTATTACGAATCTAATCTTAAAAAATAATCTTGAAATTAATCCTACAGGCTGAATAAAAAAATCGAATCAACAGTAAAAGAACAAACAAAATATAAAGGAAATAAAGATTTACACGAATTATATTTTTCAAGCGGTTAATTGCCGGTTAAAGTTTGAAGCAAAAACAATTTACAAGGGATTGGCTTCTTATAAATCGAGCCCGAATCTCCAATACAAGCCTGGTCTACACGGCAAAGGTCTCGCAGGAAATTGATGTCAGGGCATTTCAGTGTTCAACGTACTATCAGAAACCACTTGAACAACGTCAGTCTTACCAATAGCACCTTGATTCTCCAGTAGAACATTGTTGTTGTTGTTGTTGGTTTCTGGATGCTGCGTAGCCAAGTGTTTCCGAAGCGCAGCCTGCCTGGTGAATTTGGCGTCGCACCTGGTGCAAGGTATCTCGATGATCGCTGATGAATTGGAATGTTCACCATTGGCCAACCTAGGTTTATGCCAACGTCGATGGGACGCTAAATTGGCCGGACACGAGAACCTCTTATCACATTCGGGACATCTGTACTCGACATGAGCTATCCTGGAACATCTGTGCTGCGCCAATTGAAACGCATCCTCGTGGAGTTGCCTGCAAAGTTTGCACTGATACGGACCCAGCCTGTTCTCGATCTTAGCCAGCTCGGCCCGCGCCTCCTCGGTGACTTCAACGATGTTGAATGCCGGATCGATGTCTCCGGTAACCACGGCTTCGTCAGGACCCAGGATTACAGTACCGGACACTGGACTGCTGGTGTCCTCGTCGAATTTCAATCGTCTCGCGTGCTTCTTTTTCGGTCTTTGCAAAAGCTTCTCGGTCGAACCAGCTCTGGACCCATTAAATATTGCTGCACTGTTGGTCGTAGATGCTGGGCTGGCATCTTCCTCCCTGATTTTTCTTCTGGGACATTGTGGAGGCGACGGTGTGCTTGGTGGCGTCATAGGTGCATGTTGCATACTTTGCAAATGATGCTGCGGTGTTAATAGAAGTTGCTGATGATATTCCTGCATCGATTGCAATTGACTGGGACTATTTAACAAGAATTTCTGATTTTGTGCATAATATTTTGAATTAGCCTCCGGCGAACTGAAAGGGATCAAACGAGTCGCCTCTTCCAAAATAGTGGATTTGTTCGTTGCTTCCTGAAGTTGGATTGTCTCCTTCTTCGGGAATAGTTGCTCGTAGCTAGAATGGCTGTGCACAGAAGAGCTTCGGTGAATAGTATCGAAATCGTCAACAACCACTGAAACTGTTTCATCGTCGCCTCTTTTAACATCTTCCGACTCTTTTCGCACTTCGTCTAAAATTCCATGCTCTTTTTTGAGTTCCGAGCCAATCGAATCTTCAGTTTTCGGTGTGTTCGGAGTGGGTGGAGGCTTCAAGGACAAATCCAGTGGGCACGGGGTTGACGATCTAGACAGTTCCCACGTCTGAAGAACGTTGTTGTCTGGAATCCTCGAATAAACCGAGGGTCTTTCCATAGGAATGTGCCAGGTAGTGGGTGTACTGTACGGGTTTTGATGAATTTCATCGCCGTAGTAACCCAAATAATTTAATCCGGAGGGCAAAAATGCCCGTGACAATGAACTTTGTAACATATTGACGTTTTCTTCGCCACAATTTCCCTCACACGGTCCATAAGTTGAGAATGTTAACGGTTTCCATGGTACTCTCCTTAAAACCACAGCCTTATCGAATATACGTGTAGACGTTCAATGATTCCGCCGGTTCCCGAACGACTTCCGTCACTCAGTTACCGGTTAGTTGATATTTCTTAAAATCTTTTCAGCAACGAAACACACTATCTTCCTCCTCGGCGGCTAGATGCCGTTTGACAGAAGGGAGCCTGCACCGCGTGCAGTATATTCCAATGCTCCGCCCGGGAACTCGCTTTCGTTTCGTCCGCTATTGGTCGGTCGACCTCCGGCCCACATCCCCTACCGTGCACAACAGTTGCCCCCACTCTGCTGGAATTTTGGCGCGTGCTCATGTAAACGCTCACCGCCCAGTCGACCGCGCAACTAATGAATGTAGGTGTGCATTGGGGATACTTCCTCGTAGCCACAGAAGGGTGTTTGCTGTCGTTGTTGTTGATTTTTAGCATTTCTCAGACTGTGTTCCACAGAAAATTATCGCTTGGTCATGTTTATGACAAGGTATACTCATTGCAAATAGCGTCGCTGACAATACGATGCTGGTATGTTTAATACTATACATAGAACTAGGAGGAATTGCGCGAAAAAGAAATGCATACAACCAAAAAGTACTAATGGTTGTACTCTTTTTAGAAACCATCTCTTTTCAATACAACCCTACAGATGTAACTTGCGCATTTTTGTCATTTGTCGAAGTATTGTAGTTACATTCACTAATAAATTTGTATGACTTGAGAAGACTAACGGTGCGAATGGAGAACGTCTTTTGTCCCGTGCCCTCTCTCTCCAGTTCTGAACAGTACTTAACACTAGACTACCAACAGTGAAATCAAAGCAATTTCTAACAAAACTAAAATGACTGGTCATTTAAAAGTAATAGAAAATCGTTATATTTACTGATTTATTACTTTCTTACAAAAAAAGGTAAAACTTTACAATTACTACGTCACCTCAAAAAAAATATTCGGGACATGTTTTCGATGTATTTTTGCCTCCTGAATACGAATATGATCATAAAAATCGGCGATCGGACATATCTGAGCTGCTATTTTGGAAAAACAGCAGAAAATCGTGATTTCTGAGAGTTTTTTGCATTTATTTTGCATTTATTTTAATCGATTACGTAAATTACGCAAAAGTGAGAACAATATTCATTTATTAATTCAAATTCTTAGCAATGAGACTTCTAACTAGCTTGACTGCGAAAACTGTTCTGATTTTAGACGGGTTTCGCTCGCCCTTTTATACTCGCAGGTTCGCCGAATTCCTGGAATTTCTGTGACGTCAGAATATCTAAATTTTCATATAAATTCGTTATTATACATTAATTATAAAATTTAACGGTTTAATTATATTTTAAATGTCACTCTTTAATTTCTGGCTAACAGTTCGATACTAAAATGATACTCTAATGGTGTTTTAACGAAAAATACATTTTCTGTCCTTTTCTATCAGAGGCGAGTCTATTTCGATTTACAGCTTTCTAGTTTAGGGAAATAATTTTGGTTCCGGCCATGAGTAGTTTAACACTGGTTGATTTTACGTATATAAATTAATTTAATTAATTAATTAATTTAATGTCCAAAAATGCCGAAAATAGAAATAGTATCGGATACTAAAATGATGCTCTAATGGTGTTTTAACGAAAAATACATTTTCTGTCCTTTTCTATCAGAGGCGAGTCTATTTCGATTTACAGCTTTCTAGTTTAGGGAAATAATTTTGGTTCCGGCCATGAGTAGTTTAACACTGGTTGATTTTACGTATATAAATTAATTTAATTAATTAATTAATTTAATGTCCAAAAATGCCGAAAATAGAAATAGTATCGCTATCCTTTTCTACGATTAGCGCTGATCTCAAGGATTTCGGGCGAGTATCGCGGCACGTAGGCACATCATAGCGTAACGGAAATTTCGTATACAGAACTATTTATTAGAAAAATAAAATAAAATAATATATTATTGTAGACTATTTCGGGTTAAAGAACGGAAAAATCAATTAAAGGCCGATCACAATTTAAAATAGCAACACACGGAGGAGGTTTACAAAATTATAAGATAATTAATA